AACGAAGACATGTTATATCACCAGTATTAAACATGCTTAGAGCAAACATCTGTGGGAAGTTGACGATAGTAGTAGGTTAGTTTCAAAATTTTAGGTAGAATATGGTATATCATGTTGCCTACAGAAACATGATGGTTTAATGCGCCTACAATGACCATGTTGTTACATCTGATTTGCAATTCATGTTGAAAAAATGCCGTGCTGTTCGAACCGATCTGGCTGTGGAAAGTTGATGCATAAAACCTAGACGGAAATGGGAAATAAAAGTTCGTCGTGAAAACTGGAAAGCAATCAATAACTTTTTATGTTCGGTGAGTAGGCCTAGATTTTTCTTCGTTTTTATACTAAATTAGATATTGAACTTTTCTTTATTTGGAATTTATGTAAACATCTGATCCCCTGTAGGACCACTTTGATGAAATCCAGTAAGAAAGTGGAAGAGCTGATAATCTCAAGAAGCTCAAACCGAATTTGTTACCAACATAGTTTGCCTTCATTTTAGTTCTACCGAGATAGTAAAACGTCGTAAACCACCTCGTAGCAGATGTCGAATAGTTTGTTAATGAGGAACCAGACAATCCAAGCCATAGCAAATTGCTTGAACATTTCTACTGTAAATTATAATACGTCATCTGAAGATTGCTCACAACAAAAATATTCCTCTAGTTATGGTAGGTATAAGGCACCCCCCCCCACCATAAATAAAGAGTTTGTACTGCCATTTAGATATGGGTAACGCGGTAAATAAAATACAAAATGCTGACATGCTAGTAAATGTATCCTTCACTGTAAGAAATATATAAAGCATGAGGGAAATTAACTCCGTATTTCTACTGATTCTGTAGTTTCCTCTGGTTAAAACATTTTTCACTAGAGGGCTGCTGTGCAGAAACTTATGTATATTGTAGATGTTGTACCAACCAATTATTTTGGCATGTTTTTAAAACGTTCCATCTCAGAAAAAGTTTGCTGATTAAAATATCTTACTTCATATATTCACGTAATGTTATATATATATATTCATTTTTAGGTTTATGTATAGTCATACTATGTATTTATCAAGGAAGTCCTATATTAGGTACATATTTTTTAATTTTTTGTGCTACTTTCATGTTTGAAATATTCTTTTCGTGAATTTCGAAAATGACTGCAGTTTGTACATTTGCGGTACGTCAACTGTTCAATTAAGCAATTCTCTGATGATCTGTTTTTGTCTCATGCTTAAAGCTTTGATAGAGTATTATGTATATATAAAATTGTTTTTATTGATATTATTGCAATTAATCAGTATTGGAAGAAAGAAAATTGTCAGTTTTTATGTAAATATGTGGTCTAAATAAATAAAAAGGTTACATTTATCATAAAATTTCCATGCTTTGTTTCTGTAATGTGAAAACTACAATCTTATGAAGGTACTGTGATTTTCGTTGTCCCTTATATTTATAGGTTTCTATCGTACAGGAAAATCAGAAATTGGTAAATTAACTCGTCATATCAATTAAATCACATTTTTAAATTTAGTTAAATAAACTCATTTTCATGAGGTTATTTAATTATCAATATTAGCATATTACTCATAAGGAAGGTGTATTTGAATTGAGCAAACAAAAAAATCTGTAAATTTTAATATATACGAAAATTATTGATTTCTGTATTATGTACTTTTTACTCAATTTGAAGTTATGATATCAAAGAGTTATTGCCTAATAACTGGATGCCACACCTGGAATTTCAGCATAAATTAATTACTGTTTACTGGTTTATCAATCACAAAACAAACTTTCTTTAGTTAACTGGCAGTTCATCGACAATTAATTCTTATTTTCACAATTACATTACCTTTGGTGTGAAACTTTAATCAATCATGAGGGAAACCATTAAAGAATTTTGCGATCTATAATTCAGCCAGTGATGTTAAACTTTAAAATTTAGGACGGAATGCCCCTAAGATAAGGAAGGGTTGAAAAGCCTCTCACCCTAGAAGTAAGTGAAAAACAATAAAATGTACAGATTTTTTGTTTGTTTCTATCCTTTACTGTCTGAGTTCGATATTATTATCTGTAATACACATCCCGTTAAACAGATACTTGTAAACTTATTTAGTATCAGACATCAGTGTATTTGAATATTACATGTACAAATGCATGCGAGATAGGCATCATGGATGACAAATCTAACACTATGTAATTCTACTATGATAGATTTATGGCTAGATGATTTTGTCACAGCCCTTTATACAGGGTCGGTCCTAGAGTGCAGGGGCGCCCCCATGCTACAATGTACATGAAATTAAATATATATGAAAGACGGGGAGATTAGAAACAAAAACCATAACCATGCATGATAAATACTCGATATTTTCACGGACTAATCTTGCTTTAATTTATTTAAAAATACTTCACTAAAAAATATAATTTTTTGTATGTGAAAGGCTTAAATGTTTACTAACAATCTGTCAAATTATTAAAAGTTAGTAGTATTAAAACTATAAAAAGTAAACGAGTACAAATAGTTCATGTGGTCGGTCAAATTGACCGAGCCCGTGTTGAGAGAGAGAGAAGTGAAATGAACTAAACATGGCCCAATTTGATTGGGATTTGGGCCACCTTTAATCGAGGGTCCCGGGTGCCTGTCATCCGCTGCAGTGAACAAAATACACACAACTTTCTGGAACAATCGCCTTAAATTATTTTTCAGTATTTAAGACAACGTGATACTTCGATACTGACAAATTCTAGAAAGTTAGCTTTAATTTTGATTTCTTGTAAACGAGACGTACCTTTGGCTAAATAACTTGACGTGTATTGTCTTGTTGACGAAAATATAGCTTAATATTTTCTATAAGAAAGTTTTAGTATTCTAGTATTTAATGAATCCAAATAAAAACAACAATAATGGAACTTTGTTTTCTTTATTTTCTAATTTTAGGACACACATTTAAGGCAATTCTGTTAAAATAACATTTGTACATCATGTTGTTTCTGCATTAGGCAACCCTCTAACTGCTAAAAATCTACAACACATTCAGAAATATTGTTTTATCGTCTAAGTCACCGGGAAACCAACACATACACTTAAAAAATATAAATCCATTTAACTCATTAAAGCAAATTTTTTTTATCAAATATTCACTGCTAAACTTTGACATCTCCAAATACTTGACCACATGTGCCAGTTTCTTGCTGTGGGCTCCTTCTCCTTCAGGTGGAGCTAATAAAGTCATCAGTTTTATGGTATCTTACTGATAAATACAATTTAGAAATACCTTGTTCACTCAATTCATTTTATAAAATTTCTGGATATGAGCACCTGAAACATTATAAGTTGCTTTGGTGATAGTAAAAGTGTAAGTGTGGGAGTGATGATCGATGGTAAATCGTCTAAAGTTGCCGGTGACATTATTCTTGGGCCTAAGCCTTTAAAACGCTCGAGGTTAAGTGAAATAGTTCACGTGATAAGCAATATATACATACGATGATAAAAAACGAACTGATTAGCTGCATACTTAAAAGATGCTAAATACCTCAGTTCATTAACAGAACTTTGCCTAAAAAGCAACTAATTAGATATATTATTAATATGAACCACTTACTCATCTTACAATAATAATAAATATAAATATATAACATCAACAAAAGCTGCAACGACTTTCTTAATCAATCTATTCACCTCACACAGTAGTTTGCACAAAACATTCACATTATACCCAAATAACCTTTATCAGCTGCTACTAAATATACCACACCGTTTTTTTTAAACGATCACCTGATTAGAAAATGTTTGAATATTCTCAAAAGCTAAAATATAGAACTTGCAAAATGCAAATTTAAGTGTTTATTCAATATCATGAGTTTATACTTTTCTAGTGCTAAAGGTAATGGACATTTTGTTCTCTTTCACAACAAATTAAATGCTTTTGATGTTCCATTTCTCTAATAATATACTTAAATTATTTCTCTGGAAAGCTCAATTTTCAGAGCAAATTAGAAAAACATAACAAATAGCTCTTAAAAAATGAAATGTTTTCCGAATGTAAATCTTTTTGACTCTTAGCACAGTTATAAGAAAGTAATAATAATAATACAGATAACTTTCCAACCAAAACAGGTTTATTACAAATCTTTACATATGCTTTAAAGTGGTTGATATGTATGTCAAGACAAGAGTGAATAGTTTTCTTGTACCTTGTGTTCTTTTTAACATTATTTAATTTACAACAAGCTTTTCGCTACAATTTTAGTAGGGTGTTTATGTCTATGTTTCTTAAAATTGTTATGGAAAGCTTGTGATTGAAATAATAATAATTAAAATAATGTGAAGAAGAAAACCTCAATGTTATGTCATAATATTCCACTTTGGAAAAACCAGAAGGTATTGTTGTCACTTGGTTAAACTATCTAATAATTAAAATTATGTTGTGTGAAAAAAATAATAATTTAGAATTAGAATTTTGTTAAAATAAGTAAATACCTATTTATTAACTATTTCTATTTTAAACATCTATGTAGGGACAGAGGCAGGAATCTATACAGGAGGAAATTTTGTAATTTTCTCTGAAACTATGCATTTTGATGGTATCTGAGTCAGTTTTTATACCTTTTAAGTAATTATATATATATATATGTATATATATATATATACACACACACACACACAACAAACACACATA